GAGACCTTGCTGCGGGAAGGGTGGACCTGAGAACAACAGCAATTAAGAAATGGTTCCACGCTCCTCAAAACCTCCAATCTGCCGATCGGAGGCCTTTCTGCTGGATATAGTTTATTTAAATTATATTGCCTGTATTTTTACTATAAAAACAACAGGGGCAATATTTGTGCAATGCTGAGACCATGACAGTTGCTACTATTCAGGGTTATGGCGTACCTCGAACCAACAACAGTTAAGAGGTTTTTCCACCCACCCAATCAGAATAGAGGCCTTGCTGCCTGGATGTAGTTTACGACTGGAATTTGGACCTGGGAGGCTCATATTCCAGTAAAAGTAGATTGAGATTAATCAATCCACAATAAATTTTACTAAATAATAAATATTTTTTAATGAGAAACATTGTATTTTGTCTTCACTACGAAGTTCGCAGATAACTTTTCGAGATTAAAAAAAATGGATGGAGATTTGATTCAGGTGAAAGCAATCATAAAAAGAACAATATCATTCGATTTTACAAAGATATGGTGCAACTGGTTCCATAAAATAGTTCGATCCAAAAAGCTCAATTATCTCAAAATTACCCAATCAGAAGAAAATTTAGGAAAATTGCCTCAATCTCCTGGACCAATGAATTGGGAAGAATCGAAGCAATAACCAAAGAGGTGAGATTTTTTCAGTGATTGAAGAATCCTCAAAGGCTCTAATTTTTTTTTTCAAAATCTGTTCCCCAATCAAGAATTTGTAAAGCACCTTGCTGGTGGGGATTTTATTTACAAAAGTAAAATACGATGCACCTATGGAACAATGTGAAGTGTTTTATTTTTTAAAAAAAAGAGGTGGTTCCACGCTAATTAAAAAATTTAATTTCCTTTAAAAATTCCAAAAAATTAACCATTTTTGTTCTTTTAGAATGCAGGCTGACCACAAACGTTTTGTCTGTGTGTATGAACAACAGCAATGTGTTCTTCAAAAAAAAAAAAGATGGTTCAACCTTATTTGCAATGATTTGTTGAATCTTACCAGGCAGAGACCTTAAATTGCTGCGACAACAGAAGCACAATGGACCTATTTAAACAAACTAAAGAAAAGAAATTAATTTATGTGGTTCCAACAGGTATCCTCAAAAGAACAAAATCTATCCCAATTTGAGAGATGCCTTTGCTTTGCACGGATACACCACGTTCAATCATACTGATGGCATCTTAAGAGGATGGTTCCACGACTGAGTAATGAAAGACCCCTCACCAATCTCCTTAGAAAATAGGGACCTCGTTATGCTGGAATGGGTGGACCTGGGAACAACAGCAATTAAAGAGATGGTTCCACTGAAAATTCCTCGTCAAATCTCTAATCTTCTCCCAATCAGTAGACCTTGCTGACTGGAAGGGTGGACCTAAAGGGAAACAACAAAATTGACAAAGATTGTTTAAGGTTCCACACTCCTCAAAGCTCCAAACTCAAACAAAATCAGAGACCCTTATGAGTCTATGGATTGGGTGGACCTTTTATTATAAGCAATTGTCTTGTAAATGGAATTTTTAAAATTCTGAATGTAAAATAAAGAAAAATGTATGCAAGATAAGAAAGGTGGTTCCATGTTAACTCTGAGTTGTCCCTCTTCATTCTGGCGACCAATCGTGTTTTCCCAATCAAAAACAATTTGTTTTTCCAATTTTGCGCTGGAAGTAATTTTGGACCTGGGAAACAACAAAAATTAAGAAGGTGGTTCCACACACACACAAAGGCTCCAATCTCCCAATCACAACACCTGGGTTTGGGAAGGGTGGATTTAGGAACGATGGCGTAGCAATTAATTACTACTAGGTGGTTCCTAAAACGCTCCTCTAAAAGGCTTTAATCTCCCAATCAGAGACCTTTGACTTGTCGGAAAATCACTATGGACCATTGAACGAACAACAGATATTGAATTAAAAAAATGGTTCCGAAAGTATATCTCCTCATTTAATTTTTCCAATCTAAAAACCGATCGGAGGCCTTTCTTATTAGCCATCATCTTAGATATAGTTTATTGAAATTTTATCAAAATTGCCTGTAAACTTTTTTACTCAAATAAAAACCTTATTTCGTTTTTTTTTTTTTTCCTCAGCGGTCGGTGCAATGGAAGTTTGGGCAATTTAATGATATTTAGATCCCTAAGCTAAAAGTTGAACAATGTTTCTATTAATATAGTTATGGCGGACGGTCGTATCTGAACCAACAACAGGCGGCTAGGTTTTCAGACACCTGCTCAGGCCCTCCCATATTCAAATAGCTGACCTTAGTTGTTTCTGATGGAGGACGCATCATCTGTGAATTTGCTTTTATTTTTCAGCTCTTCACCAGGCTCATATTCCTACAAAATATCCAGATTCATTTTTAATCAACACACACAATAACACACACTAGAATATATATAAATAATAAATATTTTTAATATAACCTTTCAGCATACATTGTATTTCATGCCTTTGCGTGACTATGAAATTATAAAAAGAAAAAAATTCCATAATGGATAATTTTTTCACGTTCTAATGTTCAATCGTTTTGCATATAAAAGCACAATGAAAAAAAACTTTTCTCTTATGTAAATGCTTATACTAATGAAAAAAAGTTTTGTACTACTTGCATGAAGATGATTTGAAGAAGATGAAAGTACTTGGGGAAAATGAATAAAAGAAATTTAAACAATAACACATTTCCATTTTAACATCAAAACGATAGGTTATTTGTGAGTATACTGGATTTTATTAAATAAGCAGACATAATGTCTGTAATTTATTAAACAGACATGTCTAAAATATTTGCTCTAAAACATTACACACACAAACACACACACACACACACACACAAAACATATATATATATATATATATATATATATATATATACTGTTTTGAAACGGTGGCCTCAAATGGAGATATTGACCTTTCATACCCAAAATATATTTTTATTATATATATATATATATATATATATATATATATATATATATATATATATATATAGCGTGAGCCATTTTCAGTGATTGAAGAATACTTGGAAAAATCTGCCAGAGAGAAATTTTTTTTCAAAAGGGAGAAAGAGAGAAAAAGAGAGAGAGAATTAACCGTATAAACATATTTAAAGGCTGAAATTTCCTTGAATTTTATTTATCAAATTTAAAATACGAAGCATTGACTTGCATCATATAATAATTTTTTTTTCGAGCAACAATTTCATTGAAGCTCCATTCATATTTTTATTTTTAAAAAAAAAAAGTACAAAAATCCGACATTTTCCAAATCCGGCCCGTTGTTTCGTCAAAGATTTTTATTCTTTTTTTAAAATTCCAACAAAATTCTTGGTAAACACCCCTTTTGTAGTGTTCTTTGAACAGAATTTGATAAAAATCGATGGGACCAGATTTGTAATAATTCGGTGAAAATTGTTTAGTTGTATCATTACTAGGAAATGTATCCTGGTGACACCTGTGACCTAATGACCCTCAGTAATTGAACTTGTCTTGCCGGCTTTCACTGTGTTCGCGAATGGGGACTTGTTTAAAGACCGTGCAAAGACAACCTAAATTTCGAAGAATGATTGGGGTTGAGATAAAGAAAAGAACCAGGATCAGATTATGGTAGAATGATTCCTTCTCTTGGGGAAGAAGGAAGAGGAGGAATAGAGGGAGGAAGAGGCTAAAAAGGAAGAATAAAATTATAGAGGAATGTGAGAGGTGTAAAAGAAAAGGGGGAGGAAGAAGAAGGAAAAAGAGGTTAGAATGAAAAAGAAGATATAGAAAAGGAAAAAAGGAGGAGGAGGAACAAGAATAATGAGAAGCTGTAGAAGAAGAAGAAGGAAGAGGAGAAAGAGACTAAGAAGAAGAAGAAATAACATTGGAGGAGTAAGAAACGTGTAGAAGAAGAAAATGAACTGAGGGCGGATCTCCACTTGGACAAAGAAAAAAAGACAAAGGGTCTAGAGGAAAGGGAAGATTAGGAGAAATAAAATGATACGAACTGAAGTAAGAAATGGAAAGAAGAAGAAATGGAAGGAGGAGGCGCGCCATTAAAAGGACAAAGAAAAGAAGGTCAGGAGGAGGAGGGGAGAAAAAGGAATGGAAGTAGGAAAAATAAAATTGTCCCCCTGGATCAATTATGAGAAAAGGAAAGGTGAGGAAAAAGGAAATTAAAGAAAGGAAGACTAAGGAGGAAGGACAGAACATTTTCCGAAATAAAGCGTCAAAGGGAGGAGGGGGAAGAAAAAAAAAATCTTGGAGGATGGAAGAAAAGGAAGAAGAAGTAGAAGGACAAAAAATAAATTAAAGAGGCCCGGGGATGTAGAAGTAGGAGGAGGGGAAGAAAGGGATCAAGTAGGAGAAAATCATAGAAGAAGAAGAAGAATTGAAAAAATTAGTGGAGGGAAGAGTTGAGGAGGACAAGCAGGAAGTGGCTTAATGGGTTTTTTTTTTGAAGAAAAATAAAATTTTTTTTTTTGGTCAAGAAAGAAGGACTCAAAGAGGAAAACTTAGTGGGAGAAAGGAAATTTTCTATGGGAATGAGTGTATGGAGGAGGAAGAAGAATTTTAGTGGGAGAAAGGAAATTGAAGAAGAAGAAGATGAAATTTTTAGTGGAGGGAAGATGTAGAAAAAAAGGAGGAAGAAAAATGAAATAAAATTAGTGGGGAGCAAGATAATAGAAGAAGAAGAAGAAGAAAATAAAACTACCTGCTAGAAAAAAAAAGAGGAAGAGGAAGTGGCTTAGAAGAAGGAAAAGGAAATTTAGAAGAAAAATGAAGAAGAAATAAAAATTAGTGGATCCCATGTATAAAAGAGGAGTGGGGAGGTAGAAAAAGGAACCTGGCTTTTATAAGAAGAAGAATAACTAAAATTAGTGAGTGGGAAGAGTGTAGAAAGAGGAGGAGGACAGAAAGTTGCTTTTCAAATTAGAAGAAGAAGAAGAAAATAAAATTAGTGAGGGGAAGAGGTGTAGAAAGAGGAGGAGGAAGAAGAGGAAGTGGCTTAGTGGGAGAAAGGAAATATAGAAGAAGAAGAAGAAGAAATAAAATTTTGGGAAGTCCTGTGAAAAGGAGGAGGAAGAAAGGAAGGGCTTTGGGAGAAAGGAAATAGAAGAAGAAGAAGAAGAAGAAGAAGAAGAAAATTATGGAGGGAAGAGTGTAGAAAGAGGAGGAGGAAGAAGAGGAAGTGGCTTAGTGGGAGAAACAATAGAATAGAAGAAGAAAGAAGAAAAGAAGAAGAAAATAAAATAATAAGTGGGATGATGTAGAAAGGGAGGAGGAAGAAGAGGAAGTGGCTTAGTGGGGAGAAAGGTATAGAAAAGAAGAAAGAAGAAGAAGAACTAAAGAAATAAAAGTGGAGGGAGTGTAGAAAGAGGAGGAGGAAGACCTTTGGACTTAGAGAAGAAGAAGAAGAATGAGAAGAAGAAGAAGAAAAATAAAATTTGGAGGGAAGATTGAAAGAGGAGGAGGAAGAAGAGGAAGTGGCTTGGGGAAAAAAAAATAGAAGAAGAAGAAGAAGAAGAAGAAGAAGAAGAAGAATATCTCTTTATTTAATTTTTCTCTTTCTGGGAGAAAAAAAACACTAGAAGAAAAAGAAGAAGAAATAAAATTAGTGGAGTGGGATCATGTTAGATAGGAAGAAGGGGAAGTGGCCTGGGGAGAAAGGAAATAGAAGAAGAAGAAGAAAAATAAAATTTGGAGTGGGAAGAAACTAGGAGGAGGAGGAAGAAAAGTGGCTTAGTGGGAGAAAGGAAACATAGAAGAAGAAGAAGAAGAACTAAACCTATAAAGAGGAGGAGGAAGAACGGGAGAAAGGAAATATAGTGGAAGAAAAGAAGAAGAAGAAGAAGAAGAAATAAAATTAGTTGGGAAGATGAAAGAGGAGGAAAGAAGAGGAAGTGGCTAAAATGGAATTAGAAGAAGAAGAAGAAGAAGAAGAAGAAGAAGAAGAAATAAAATTAATATAGTAGGAGGAGGAAGAAGACGGTCGTATGGGAGAAAGGAAATATGAAGAAGAAGAAGCTAGGAAATAAAAGAAAAGAAGGTAAGCCAATCCCTATGAGGAAAGACTAGTGGGCCTGCTCAAGAAGAAGAAGAATTTAGTGTTTGCTCAAGAAGAAGAAGATTCGTCCTGTAGGGAAACTGCAACTAGGAAGAAGAGCTGACCTTGGGGAGAAAGAAAGGAAGGAAGAAGAAGAAGAAGGTGGAAGAAGAAGCATCATCTGGAGGGAAGAGTGTAGAAAGAGGAGGAAAGAAGAGGAATATAGGGGATCACCATATAAGAAGAAGAAGAAGAAGAAGAAGAAGAAGAAGAAGAAGAAGAAGAAATAAAATTAGGTATAGAAAGAGGATCACCATATATATCTTCTCAGAAAAGGAAATAGAAGAAGAAGAAGAAGAAGAAGAAGAAGAAGAAGAAGAAGAAGAAGAAGAAATAAAATTATGGAGGGGAAGATAGAAAGAGGAGGAGGAAGAATAGGAATATATATATATATATATATATAGAAGAAGAAGAAGAAAAGAATATATATTAAGTCTCTTAGTGGAGGGGGCAGGTATATGTAAGGAAGGAGGAAGTGGCTTAGTTTAGAAGAAGATACCTTAATAAGAAGAAGTGATTAGTGGAGGGAAGATTATAAAAGAGGAGGAGAAAAAAATGGCTTAGTAATGGATAATTTTTTAAAATTCTAGTGGGAACGCTCAGCACATTGTGAATCGTTTTGCAGGGGAAAAGGAAAATGAAAAAAGAAGAAGAAATAAAATGGAAAACAAGGAGGAGGAAATATAGAAGAAACTGAAGTGGCTTTATGTAAAAGCTTAGAACTAAAGAAGAAGAAGAAAATTATATAGTTTTGAAAAGAGGAGGAGGAAGAAAGGAATGATCATGGGGAAAGGAAGAGAAGAAGAAGAAGAAGAAGAAGAAGAAGAATAGAAAAAGAAATTTAGTGGAGTGGGAAGGTGTAGAAAGAGGAGGAGGAAGAAGAGGAAGTCCTTTGGGAACATCAATATACGAAGAAGTGGAGTGGGAAGAAATAAAATTAGGTGGAGGAAGAAAGGAAGTATAAAAAGGATTTTAGAAAGGAGAAAAATTAGAAGAAGAAGAAGAAGAAATAATTTTATTAGTGGGAAGACATGTCTAGGGGAAAGAAAGGAATTTGCTAGTGGGAGAAAGGAAATATAGAAGAAGAAGAAGAAGAAGAAGAAGAAGAAGAAGAAGAAGAAATAAAATTAGTGGAGGGAACAGGTAGAAAGAGGAGGAGGAATAGGAAGTGGCTTATGGGAGAAATATATATATATATATATATAGAATATATATATATATAGAAGGAATAAGTATTAGAAAAGTGAAAGAGGAGGGATCAGAGGAAAACCCTGGAAATATAGAAGAAGAAGAAGAAACTTTTAAGAAGAAAAGAAGAAGAAAAAAAATATTTTTTATTATTCATATATATATATATATATATATAAAGAAGAAGAAGAAGAAGAAGAAGAAGAATATATAAATATATATATATATATAGGAGGAGGAAGAAGAGCCATCTTAGGGGAGAAAGGAAATTAGAAGAAGAAGAAGAAGAAGAAGAAGAAGAAGAAGAAGAAATGTTGACCTCAGAAAAAACAGGGAGGAGAAGAAGAGGAAGTGGCTTAGTGGGAGAAAGGAAAAGAAGAAGAAGAAGAAGAAGAAGAAGAAGAAGAAGAAGAAGAAGAAGAAAGAAATAAAATTAGGGAGGGGGAAGAAAGAGGAGGAGGAAGAAGAGAATAAGAAAGGAAAAGAAGAAGAAGAAGAAGAAGAAGAAGAAAATATATTTAGAAGAAGAAGAAGAAATTTCCTGGAGGGAAATAAAGAGGAGGTTAATATCAATTTTAGTGGGAGAAAGGAAATTGAACTTGCATCATATAAGAAGAACATTTTCCTTTTCCTGGAGGGGCAACAATTTCATTAGGAAGAAGCTCCATTTATGGGAGAAAGGAACTATTCAGAAGAAGAAGAAAATCTATGGAGGGAAGAGGAAAAGAGGAGGAGGAAGAACAAATTCTGTGGGAGAAAGGGGGGAGAAAAGGAAGAAGAAGAAGAAGAAGAAGACCTAAAATTTTAATCCGCCCCGAGGTTTCGAAGAAAGATTTTTATTCTCAAAGGAAATTTTAGAAGAAGAAGAAGAAATAAAATTAGAAGTGGGAAGAGGTAAACAGGAAGCTGAGGAAGGCCTTCTTTGAAAGAAGAAGAAGAATTTGATAAAATCAGTGGGAACCAGATTTGTAATAAGGAGGTGAAGAAATTGTTAGGGGAGAAAGGAAATATAGAAGAAGAAGAAGAAGAAGAAGTAAGAAGAAGAAGAAATAAAAACACCTGGGAAGAGTGTAGAAAGACCTCAGGAAGAATTGAACTTAGGGGTGGGAGAAAGGAAATAAGAAGAAGAAGAAGAATAAAGCTTTAGTGGAGTGGGAAGAGGTGAAAGAGGAGGAAAGAAGGGACTTGTTTAGAAGAAGAAGAAGTGAAGAAGAAGAAGAAGAAATAAAATTAGTGGAGAATGTCGAAAAGGAGGATGAGTGGCTTTAGTGGGGGAAATAAGAAGAAGAAGAAGAATAAATAAAATTTAGGGTAGGAGGGAGGAGGAAGAAGAAATTATAGAAGAAGAAGAAGAAAAGAAGAAGAAGAAGAAGAAGAAGGAAATAAAATTAGTGGGGAGGGGAGGAGAAAAGAGGAGGAGGAAGAAGAGGAAGTGGCTTAGTGGGAGAAAGGAAATATAGAAGAAGAAGAAGAAGAAGAAGAAGAAGAAGAAGAAGAAGAAGAAATAAAATTAGTGGAGTGGGAAGAGTGTAGAAAGAGGAGGAGGAAGAAGAGGAAGTGGCTTAGTGGGAGAAAGGAAATATAGAAGAAGAAGAAGAAGAAATAAAATTAGTGGAGTGGGAAGAGGTGAGGAGGAGGAAAAGAGGAAGACTAGTGGGAAAAGGATAAAGAAGAAGAAGAAGAAATAAAAATTAGTGGAGGGAAGAGGTAGAAAGAGGAGGAAAGAGGAAGTGGCTTAGTGGGAGAAAAAGAAGAAGAAGAAGAAGAAATAAAATTAGTGGAGGGGAAGGAGAAAGAGGAGGGAGGAAGAAGAGAAGAAGAAGAAGAAGAATAACATTTGGAGGGAATAAGAAAGTGGCGTGAAAAGAAGAAAAGAAGAAGAAGAAGAAGAAGAAGAAGAAGAAGAAGAAGAAGAAATAAAAATGGGAGGAAGAGTGTAGAAAGAGGAAGGAAGAAAGGACAAGAAATTAAAAGAAGAAGAAGAAGAAGAAGAAGAAGAAGAAGAAATAAATTAGTGGAGGGAAGAGGAAGAAGAGGGAAAAGGGGAAGTGGCTTAGTGGGAGAAAGGAAATATGAAGAAGAAGAAGAAGAAGAAGAAGAAGAAGAAATAAAATTAGTGGAGTGGGAAGAGTGTAGAAAGAGGAGGAGGAAGAAGAGGAAGTGGCTTAGTGGGAGAAAGGAAATATAGAAGAAGAAGAAGAAGAAGAAGAAGGAAATAAAATTAGTGGAGTGGGAAGAGTGTAGAAAGAGGAGGAGGAAGAAGAGGAAGAGTGGGGAGAAAAAGGAAAAAGAAGAAGAACGAAATAAAATTAGAGGAATGGGAAGAGTATAGAAGGAGGAGGAAGTGGCTTATTAGGAGAACGAAAATTATAGAAGAAGAAGAAGGAAGATGAAGAAATAAAATTAGTAGGGGAAGAAGAAAAGGAGGAGGGAAGAAAGGAAGTGGTTTAGTGGGAGAAAAGAAGAAGAAGAAGAAGAAGAAAATAAAATAGGTGGAGGGGAAGAGTGTAGAAAGAGGAGGAGAAGAAGTGGAATGTTATAGAAAGGAAATAAGAAGAAATAAAATTAGTGGAGGGCAAAGAGGAAAAAGGAGGAAGAAGAAAAGTGGGAGAAAGGAAAAGAAGAAGAAGAAGAAGAACAATGAGTGGAGGGAAAATGTAGAAAGAGGAGGAGGAAGGAGGAAGTGGCAAGTGGGAGAAAAAATATAAAAAAAGAAGAAGAAGAAGAAGAAGCAAAATCAGTGGAGGGAAAAGAGGAGGAGAAGAAGAGAAGGGCTTAGGGGAGAAAGGAAATATAGAAGAAGAAGAAGAAGAAGAAGAAGAAAAAGAAAATTTATGGAGGGAAGAGGTAGAAAGAGGAGGAGAAGAAAGAAGTGGCTGGGAGCCTAAATTAAAAGAAGAAGAAGAAGAAAAATTAAAATTATTTAGAAAGAGGAGGAGGAAGAAGAGGAATTAATTTTTAAAGAAGAAGAAGAAAAGAAGAAGAAATAAAATTAGTGGAGGGAAGAGTGTAGAAAGAGGAGGAGGAAGAAGAGGAATTCAATGGGAGAAAGAATAGAAGAAAAGAAGAAAAATTCTTTTAAAATTAGAGGAATGGGAAGACTTTAAGGAGGAGGAGAAGGAGAACGAATTTAGAAGAAGAAGAAGAAGAAAAAAATAGTGGGGGAAGAGTGAAAGAGGAGGAGGAAGAAGAGGAAATCCCTTAGAAGAAGAAGAAAAGAAGACGAAATCTCTCTCTCTCTCTAAAATTAGGGAGGAATAGAAGGAAGAAGAAGAAAGAAGAAGAGAAGAAGAAGAAGCAGAAGAAGAAAGAGAAAGTGAAAAAAAGAATGATAAAGAAGGCGGATGATAAAAAAACAACAGAATAAAGAGAAGAAGAAGAAGAAAAGGTGAATGTTTAGAATGATAAGCTTCTGAAGAACTCTCTGTCTCAACAACAACAAAAAAAACGAAAAGCAAAAAGCAAATTTCCTCCCCTTTCGCAGTTTGGGGTAGCAGGACGTAAAAATTTATAAGGAGCCGAAGAAAATTGCTGGCCTAAATTAAAATATTAAATGCAAATTAATTATTTCATTAATGGAATTAATTTTTTAATTACAAAAATAATAATATTTGCTTTCGGGGACTCTTCAATGAAATTCCAATTAGAAGAATTCAAACCTAAAAATTCTTTTCCTCTTCCCTGTTTTACTTTATTTATTTTGAGAATATTTTTCATTTCGTGAAAAAAATGGAGGTCACTGTCTTTGAAATTCAATCCACTTGCTATCTCTCTCTCTCTCTCTCTTTCTCTCTCTCTTTCTCTCTCTCTTTCTCTCTCTTACACACACACATACACATAAACGTGCTCACTTATTTTCCTCTGTCTCTGTCTCTTTTCGCATATTCCTCTCTCTTTGTCTTCTCACCCCAATCAGTTTATCTTTCTGTTCTAACTCTGTCTCTCTCTCACCTCTTCTCTTTCAACATCCTTACTCTCTCTCTCTTCTCATCCTTACTCTCTCTCTCTCTTATCCTTACTCTCTCTCTTTTCATCCTTACTCTCTCTCTCTGACCAACTCTCTCTCTTAAGATCATCTAAGACTCTCTCTCTTCTAACTTAGACTTACTTTCTGACCAACTCTCTCTAAGATCAGCCAAGACTTATCTTATCTTTTCATCCTTAGACGAGCTCTGACCAACTTAGACGAAAGCTATGATCAGCTAAGACTACTATGACTAACTTAGACGAGCTCTGACCAAGCTAAGCTATGATCAGCTAAGACTAGCTATGACTAACTTAGACGAGCTCTGACCAACTTTGGGCAAGCTATGATCAGCTAAGACCAGCTATGACTAACTTAGACGAGCTCTGACCAACTTGGGCAAGCTTGATCCAGCTAAGACTAGCTATGACTAACTTAGACGAGCTCTGACCAACTTGGGCAAGCTATGATCAGCTAAGACTAGCTATGACTAACTTAGACGAGCTCTGACCAACTTGGGCAAGCTATGATCAGCTAAGACTAGCTATGACTAACTTAGACGAGCTCTGACCAACTTGGGCAAGCTATGATCAGCTAAGACTAGCTATGACTAACTTAGACGAGCTCTGACCAACTTGGGCAAGCTATTATCAGCTAAACTAGCTATAAGTAACTAAGACGAGCGCTGACCAACTTGGGCAAGCCATGATCGGCTAAGACCAGCTTAGACCAGCGGCCCGAGTAAAAACACTCGGGTTCCCTCGTTAAAACCGACCTTGTGTTACAACCTAACTCAGTGGGGTAGGGACGGTAATTAAATCTCTTCGAGGTAAACTACATTTATTAAGTAAATTAAACCAATATTAGTTTAAGGCCTCAGAAATCTATTAAAAAAACTTTTTTTTTTCTTTTTTTCTAAATTATATGTTGATAAAGGGTTAATGGAAATACTGGAAAACAGAAAATAAGAAAGTTATTGAGTGAGGAGATGGCGTGCACCCATTGGAGATATCAAAGGAACTTCGCAGAGAACGATAAAGGGGGCTGTTGAAAATATAAGCTGAGAACCCGTAGCAAAGGAAAAGGCTTTAAAAACTTTCTTCTTCGAGAACATGAAGTAAATCTAGTTACAACAAAACAAAGATTTTTGACCGGTGCTCGGATCCTTGAACAAGCTTGAAGTATAGGATTCAGAATGACAAAAGGTGTAAAATACTTTGCAAATTAGGATCTCAAAAGAAATCACCGAGGAAAACTTCTTTAAAAAAAAAAAAAAATAACAAATATTTGTCTATGTCTCTGAAATGAGGTATCGTGATTACTTACATTATTTACTTTATTCGGACTGTTATCCTCATCTTCATTGCCATATTCACAACGTTTCGGCCGTTGTACGCTCCGGCCTTTACGTCTATGTCTCTCTATATATTTCTCTATATCTCTGAGATGAGGTATTATGATTACTTACAGTATTTACATTATTCGGACTGTTATCCTCATCTTCATTGCCATATTCACAACGTTTCGGCCGTTGTACGCTCTGGTCTTCTTCAGCTGATTGGAATTTCCAGCCGAACTCTTTATTTCGACCACCGGGGTAGAGTGTGTCCTCAAGGACACATAGCCCAGTGGATAAAGACGTTGGTTAGATCCAGTGACTAAACCCAAAGAGTTGTGAGTTCAGCGCGAGGCCATAGCAGTGGTGGATCCAAGATTTGGTGAGTTGAGTTAAAGGGAAATAACTGAGACATCCGGAAGAGGCATGGCACGTGGAACTAGAACAATCTACCCCGGTGGACGAAATAGAGAGTTCGGTTCGAAATTCCAATCACTTAAAGAAGGCCGGAGCGTAAACGGCCGAAACGTTGTGAATATGGCAATGAAGATGAGGATAACAGCCTGAATAATAAAACTAATGCGATTAAAACAAATATTTTAGAGCGTCAAAATTGGACCAAGAAATAGATAAACATGAATTTTTCTGATGTAATTTTCATAGACTAATCTCGGGTGTAACTCGATGGACATGATGAGGGGGGGAGGGCAAAGAATGGATTCTATCCGGTGCGTATATGTCTGTGGCTAAAAACAAGGAGCTGGAATTGTCGGGAAAACCATTATTGAATCATTCAAAATCGATGAAGAAGTTAAAATGAACAGTGCTAAATATTGCCATTTCATGGCCAAGATTTTTTTTTAATGATACAAGTCCTAGCCTCACAGTTTCAAATTGAAGTGAGTATTTATGTCTCATGGATTTAAGATTATCTGCCAATTTTATCTGCCAATTTAATCAAGATTATCTGCCAATTTAAGATTATCTGCCAATTTTATCTGCCAATTTAATCAAGATTATCTGCCAATTTAAGATTATCTGCCAATTTTATCTGCCAATTTAATCAAGATTATCTGCCAATTTAAGATTATCTGCCAATTTTATCTGCCAATTTAAGATTATCTGCCAATTTAAGATTATCTGCCAATTTTTTATCTGCCAATTTATTAGCCAATTTTATCTGCCAATTTAAGATTATCTGCCAATTTTAAAGTGTAAAAGTTTTACAAAAGTGGAGATAATGTCTCCATCAAGTCCTGATCAAAATTTATGGCCAATTGCGAAGATTAAATTATATGAAAGTGGCAAACAATATGGAAGCAAAGGAGACTTATAGGGAACAATTAAAATCATGTTGGAATATGAATCCTACTTCAGGCTGCAGTTTTTATAATAAATCTAATATCTTTAATAAAAACATGCTGAAACTACGTTACAATTTAACTCAAGCTTTGTTTTGACGTCTAAATTAGTCGTTTAAAATCCGTCAAAAATTGTTAAAAAAATCCGAATTACTGAGGTTAATATGATTTACATAATACCGGCAGACGCGCTGTAATGAAGACAAAAAAAAAGAAATCACTTTTGTCATCACATTGTGATAATAGATCTGGCAAGAAAAGTGAAATGGTGTAAGAACCTGGACGTAAATATTTACTGTGGATAATTTAGTGATTCTAGCAATTTCTATACATTTTCGTCTTAGTAAATTTCTTTCTGTATTAATTAGAGTAGCATTTTAAAAATCAAAATTATCAAACTGATTACAGTGGGCAACTAATGCATTTAATGTGTTGTTTTGTAAAAGATCCCTTTTATGTTCATATAGTCTTTTATTTAAATTCATTGAGATTTCTTTTATGTATTCTTTTTGCCAATTAGTACAGGTGACAGACTAAATCCCCTTTCAAGTCTTATTATTTTAGATGTAGCCTTAACAAATTTTATGTTAAGCTTGGATAAATTATTTTCAGTTGTAGCTCTGATGCAATTAGTGGGTAGAAGAATATAGTTCGATTCGTTCCGTTTGCGAGTAAGTGCCGCTTTTCTATTTTGAAATATTAGTCTTTTGTTTCAAATTGAATTTGAAATAATTGGAAAAGCTTTGTCATCTTCATGTAAATATTAATCGTTGAGAGCTCTTAAATAGTATCCAATGATTATTCCGGATTTTATTTCGTTGTTATAGTGAGAATAGAAATTTATGAGATCATTTTTATCAGTTGATTTGCGATGGACCTTAGTTTTAGGCTCTTGTTACTACGATGTAACATGATATCTAGGAAAAGTAAAGTATTATTTATTTTCATTTCTTAAGTAAATTCTATCGTATTTTCGACTTTGTTTAGTTTATCCACAAGGTCAAGTAAACCAGATTCGCGAGGATAGGGCGCCATTAATATATCGGAATTTTTATTTTATTTTATTTTTTCAATGTTGTTTATTCTCTATAAGGCCAGACATAAAGTTTCCTGAGATAACACCCATTCAGCGTAACTGGGGAAAGTTATATGTCAACTTTTTGATGACTAATTTGATTTTAGAAGTGTTGAATTTGGAAGCGTGCTGGGCTCATAACCAATGTTGTTCATGATAACGGTCGTCTTTGAGTATAGAATCCAGAGGTTACCAGTGAATATTTCGAAGACAGTAGGAAAGCGTAGTTCAGGTTAGCAGTGGATATTCCGGTAAAGTAGCAGAGCGTAGTTCTTCCTTCTCTTTCTCTTCGCCTGACAAGCTGGTACTGGGCATTCGAAGAGAGTAAACAAAATGGCCACCTTTATACACGACGGATTGAATATTCTACGTCTTCTGATTGGTTAACCTTCTATTGAGGGACTATAAAGGGAGTCAAGTCATTTGGGTTGGCTCACTAGTCTAATGTATCTAAAAATTGTAACAGTCAGCGAGTTTTTCCACCCCTGAGCTGTTAGAGCTAAATCAGAGAAGAGATCAGCTGTCAAGTTCTTGTCATCTCGAGTTTTGAAGGTGCACCTATATACCGTTGTATCATCAACTTAGATATTTACAAACGATCGGTGTATACTCGTCGGCAGATCGTTTATGTAAAGTAGAACCTTGAGGAACGCCTGCGTTGATCGCTTAGGCCACAGGGGACTAGCCGTTAAAAAAAATACTCTCAGGAAGGACTAAGAAAATTCTTCCAGTGATTCCATAACTTGTGCAGTAACCCTTTATGCTACACCTTCTCAAAGGCATTTGAAAAATATCTAAGGTTGTGTCTTGATATATGAAAATTTATATATCGTTTCCCGCTCTAAATTCCTTATAACGGATCCATACAACTAGGTAATATGAAGAGATAGCGAGGAGATAGAAATATTGTTACGCAAATCTCCTAAGCATAGCCATAAACTTGATCGATTGAAGTGTTAAACTCTACACCCGATTGTGTTATGTATTCGTTTATTGATAGCCCTATATAAAGAGATAGAGTATAGAAACAAAGATTATGTAGCGCCAATCTCCCAAATGAAGGATGCCTGTGAAATTGATCGGCTGAAGTGTTAAATCCTATAAAGCTTTGTCATATGCATTGATTTATTGATAACCCTATATAAAGAGATAGAGAGGAGAAACAAAGATTATGTAGCGCCAATCTCCCAAATGAAGGATGCCTGTGAAATTGATCGGCTGAACTGTTAAATCCTATAAAGCTTTGTCTTATGCATTGATTTATTGATAACCCTATATAAAGAGATAGAGAGGAGAAACAAAGATTATGTAGCGCCAATCTCCCAAATGAAGAATGCCTGTGAAATTGATCGGCTGAAGTGTTAAATCCTATAAAGCTTTGTCTTATGCATTCATTTATTGATAAGCCTATAAAAAAGAGATAGAGAATAGAAACAAAGATTATGTAGCGCCAATCTCCCAAATTAAGAATGCCTGTGAAATTGATCGGCTGAATATGTAAAAACATAGGAAGTATAAAGAATGATTGTGTTACGCAAATTTCCCAAAAGGAGGATATCTATGAATTTTTTCAGTTGAATTGTTAAAAACATGGTTAATTTATGCATTCATTTATTAACAATCTCATATAAAGGTAAATAAAGAGAAGAGATAGAAAGATTATGTTACGCCAATCTTGCAACCTGAAGATAAGCGTAAAATTTGATCCGTTGAAGTGTTAAAATCGGTTGATCTATGCATTTATTTATTGATAATTTCATATCAAAAGTAAAGTAAATGAGACTTGATAGAAAGATTATGTTACGCCAATCTTGCAATCTGAGGAAGACAATGAAAATTGTACTGTTAGAGTGTTAAAATCTACACTAAGTTTGCCTATGAATTCATATAAAGGTAAAGTGAATAAGAGAAGATAGAAAGATTATGTTGCGCCATACTTGCAACCTGAGGATGACGGTAAAATCAATCGGCTGAAATATCGTTTTAATAAGAATGACTACATAGATATTGTGAGGTAACCGCTTTGTAGGAGTCACAGTTGCGAGCACGTAGACTCAGAAGGAAGTCATACTTTGATACTGAATTTCCCAGACTGTATATATATATATATATATATATATATATATATATACAGTGTAACCCGGATATAAGAGAGATTTTCTCTTGTCCCAAATTAGAGCCCATACTTACCTAAACAAAATAGACCAACCCGGATATAAGAGACTTCTTCTCCGGTCCCGACAACTCTCTTGTATCCGGGTTACACTGTATATATATTATTGCTACTAACCGCATTTCTGGATCTGCTAACCGTATTACCAATTGTATTATTACGTCAATACATTTATTTGTTATATTTCATTCCTGCGTTTGTCATTCATTTGAGACCGGATTTCATCCCGGAATACACAGCAGATATTATTCAATTATTCCACTTCCGGTAATGGCGTTCGGGTATTCTATATGTCTTTTTTTTAT